AGATTTAGGTATTATAAACCTTATTAAAATAGACACTTATTTTGTTCAGCGAATCCAAAAATGCAATAATATACAGGACATTCCATTTAAAAAAACGCCACTTTGATACTTTTAGGGCCTTTGGAACACCCTGTACATTACAAAAATATTTTTTAAATGTGCACCCGATCGGCGGCTGTAGATTCATCAAATAATAGTTTGCAAAAAACAAACGGGCTAGCCGCAAACGTCCGTGCCGTATAGCGTGAATAACCCGGTATATTACAGACAAGACAAATTTCAGTTTTAAATATTTTGCAGTCAACTACCATCAGTTGGTTGGAGTCTGTCTTCGTCACACTATCTAAGAAGACAGCCAAACACTAGAGAGACTACCGCATGATTAGCATATTGAGCCATACTCCAAATATTCCTCAAAATATACCTGGTCGATTACTCAATCAAGAGTGAATACACATACATAGTTCGAGTGCATTTCGAAGGCTTCCAGCAGCCTAAACGTAAACCTACCTGTCTCTATCACTGACACACCCGGTACAATCAGAACACCACCACTTATTAATAATAGCAGAATATTATACACTTACGCCTATGAGGATTAAAATGACTGAACTCCTCCGTCAAATGGACTAACAGTACAATGGATACTAATAGAAAAACTCGACCATACTTTTTGAACATGGTTGATCCGGTCCGTATGTTAATCTACTCGTATTTAGAGCCGGAGGTGTATGATCTGGAGTGATTTATCGCGGGACTTCTATAATTCTTCGTAGTTAAATGACCTTTTTCATGACACCTAAAATGGATGGAAATAATTATACAGGGTGAGAACCAAAAATTTTTTGTTGTATATTCAAAAAAATCAAAATCGGATTTACGATCTAGTTTTCTAGTGTTGACGATAGACCTAAAGTCTGTGTGCCTTGCATCCGTTTGTATGATGATACAGTGGTAGGAAAGTGTTTCTATTGGTTGGAGATCTGTCAATTCGTTCGTCGTCGTTAATAATTCGAGGTTGGGAAAGTAAAACCTTGCTATTTGACATCTGTCAAAGGTAAACGTCATCCGAAGCGCTTTTGTTTTCGTTGAAGGTTTGCCATTTTGGAATATGGATCGTTTAACTGTCGAAAAACGCGTAAAAATTATTAAATGTTGCTATAAAACTGGTGATTCTGCTGTATCAACGTTTAGGGCTTTTCGAGCAGATTACGGTCGACATAATCGACCCACAGAGCAAACAATTTCGAACACAGTGGAAAAATTTGAAGAGACTGGATCGGTTACTGATACTGTAAGATCTCTGCATGATCGCAACATTCGTTCAGCTGAAAATATCGCTGTTGTTGCTCAAAGTGTGGAGGAAGACTCGAATTCGTCGATTCCCCGACGTGCTCAACATTTGGGCTTGTCTTAAGCCTCATTGAGGCGAATTTTGCAATTGGATTTGAAGCTCCATCCGTCCAAAGTCCAACTGACTCATACGCAAATTGGGTGATTGACCAACAAGCCGTTGATGATGATTTTTCGAACCGAATTTTTTGAGCGATGAGGCTCATTTTTCGCTCGGTGGTTACGTGAATAAACAGAACAGCCATATATGGGGCTCTCAAAATCCAGATCGCAGAAAGGCCTTTGCATATTGAAAAAGTGACCGTATGGTGTGCATTATGGTGTTATTGGCCCATATTTTTTTGAAAAACGATCAAGGAAGAGCCATAACAGTCAATTCTGAGCGCTATGGACCCATGTTAAGCGAGTATTTGTGGAGATAAATTGAAGATTATGATCCGGAAGACATGTCAATTGGCCCGCAAGATCCTGCGACTTAACACCGTTAGATTTTTTTTTGTTTACGCCAACAATCCTCAAACTGTTGAGCAACTGAAAGCCAATATCCGTGAAGTTATGCCCGATATATTTCCGGTAATGTGCCGAAAAGTCATTCAAAATAACCTCAAAAGGATTGAGGCCTGTAGGAGGTCCCGTGGAGGACATTTAAATGATGATAGTTTTTCACGTATAATGGCAATTTTCGTCTCCATCTGAATATTTTGTGTGTTTTTTTACTTTCCCAAGCATAAAATGCATAACCCTCTATCTTGAGAGACGTTTTTTAACTTTCGACCATCTCGTTTACTCACAGAGTGGTCCAAAAAATCAACTTTTTCGTCTTGCAGTGATATTTTTTCTTTTGAAACGATTCGCAAAATCTATGGCTCATGTTGAAGCTGAAACTTCGCGGTTGACTTGAGAAAAAATTTAAAATACAGGGTTGCTTAAGTGAACGAAATATTTGAAAATGAGCTTCACTTGAGTTGACGGTCTGCTAGAATCACATGTTTCGGGGAATTCTGATTTGGGTAATTCTTGTGCAATTTTAATTACAATTACAATTGTCTATGAAGTTTTAGCTTTAACATGTTTTAGTTTTAAATATCGTGAACTTCGATCCCAGAGCAGGAAAGTCATTGCTTCCAGACCAAAAAGTTGAATTTTTGAGGCCATCCTGTATTTGGAGAGAAAGACGCATAGAACATCAATTTCACTATGCAAATTATTTTCGACTTGATTACTTCGACAGGCATCTTCTGCTTTTTAGCATAATATCTCAATTAGATTTCGCGTCTGCAGAAATAGTAGATGCTATATACTTGACGATTACCTCTTTTCAGAGAAGCTTTGTTGCGTTTACAGCTGAAATATTCAGATATTTTGACAAATTGAATGAAATGAAATGAACCTACTTTAAAAATTCCAGATATCAGTTGCCTTTAAAACATAGCAGAAATGTTCACTTTTACTGGCTGGCACAAATAACACTGGACGCTACACTGATTTTGACCCATTTAACTTGTCATGCTAATTTATTCTAATTGAGCGATATAATTCCAGACCTTAACGTGATCTATTAACTTCTTAAGTGGTACAGTTAAAATTCACTTTTATGTGGTCTGGAAGTGCTGCCTGGTCTCGTTAGCGACGCGTGAGCCCCAAGCAAAAAACCTCAATTTTGAAATCTTGCAAAAATAGTCTTGATGCGAAATTAAGTGAAGTGAACGGAGCTACTTTAATGATCTATATTACTGCAGAATTCATTAAAAGTTCACTACATCCAGTTCTCTGCGCATAACTAAAGTTACAATAAGTTTTTCTTCATCCTTGCTCCATTGCGCATTTCCTTTCTTCGGGTCCACTGGGTGCGGAAGCTTCATATCCAAAAAGAACTTGGGTGAATCCAGGATTATTTGCTCTTTTTCAACTTTCAAGTCAAGATTTTGACGATCTTCCCCGGGCAGTTCTATACTGATCACCATATTTTCACAGCTGCTTGTAGACGGATTTTTCAAACTCATCTAGACAACGGCAATTACAAGTAGAAAATCTACATTCTTTAAAACAGTGGTAAACATTCAACTCTTCTCTTGTTGTTGCTGTTCATTATATTGGCAATAATTATCACATTCATCAACAACATGAAAGTGCAAAACAACAAAGTTGCCTAAATTGTCCGAATTCGCCCAAATTTTCCATCTTTTTGCAACAAAGACAATTTTATTAATTTATACGGTCGGAATCTTCGAGACTCACGATAAATCGGAGCGGTGCGATTTAATCTTAGATGACAAAATAGATTAACTTCAACAAATAGTACAGAACTTTATTTTAAGAGTTATATATAGAAAGCAAAAAGGATTGCCAACTCAACAGCTCTATTCTGAGGAGGTATTCAATCTGAGCTCGATATACGTTCTGTCGTTTACAAATAACTTCAAAACTTATAGGAATATAGAAATAGAGTGAACAAACACCTGAAAGTGCCAAGCATTACAAAAAATATCGGGCACCGATTTTTGGATTATTTGGCTTCTAAATTCGATAGTGTCCTACCGAATAACTTGAAAGGGGTGAATAATATTAGAAATTTTAGTAAGGGCTGCAGAAAATTAATTTTTCAAAATATAGACAAATTTGATTTTTTTAGTGGTTTTTGGGGATGTTGCTTCTGGGTGATGGTAAAATTAATTTAAGTAAACTATGCGTAAAGTTTTGTTTTGGTTATTTCATGTATCTTTCTTTTCGTTTAAATTAAATAAATTAAATTAGTTTTAGGTATATTTCAATTAAATGAAAACTTAGGGCGTATGTCGTAATTAATAAATTAAATGTCTGGAACATTTAGGCATCAATATGTTAATTAAGTTAATTTAAGTATGTGAACTTATTCTGCCTTTAGCTAACAAAAGATGCTACAAGTTGAAATAAATAAATAAATAAATAAATGAAAAATAAATAAAATAAATTTACCCCTAAAAACGCATCGCATGCGCTGACACTTTGCCGGTACGAAATAACCCATTTAGGAACTTGCTTCCAGCCATTTTTGCTAGAAATTTCGGAGGTTTCATCCAAGTAGAGATCAAAATCAGCATCAGCGCTTGCTGCACCATTAAGTATCTCTGGGCGTTTCGAAAGATCTATTGGTCTATATGGATTAACTTTTTGTGTCTTTGATGGTGCTTCTTTATTTTCGTTTCTCTCGCATTCATTGCCGATTTCTATTAAAAATTATATCGCATGCGAGTAGTAGTAAATTAATAGCAATCTAAATCTACCTACTGGTTTGTGCATGGGAAGATTCGCAGTCTTCATTAACATCATCTTTATCCGCGGTGCTAAAAAGCTGTACTAGTTTTTCTATATCGCAAATATTGGAGGACATTTTCGACCTGCTTCAGTCTTCTTGACAACACTGAGGTTGTATAATGAAACTGGTGATACTTTTGTTGCTAAGATTCCCCTTGTTGAATCAATAATAACTTAGAAGGTGCTTCCCTGACCCAAATTTCAATGTGAAAGTGACCCTTATTGAAGCTTTACCCAGTCTGAAAGAGACCCCGAATCTCGATATTTTATGGCAATACCCTATATACAGGGTGGCTAATTTCAAAAGAACCAGTCAAAGCCGTCGCAGAATATAGCAAGTATGAGAAAATACATATTTCATGTCACGAACAGAGGTTTTTTAAAGTATTTGCCTAGCTTGCTCAGTGAATAAATCTGATATTACAACATATTTCGAATTCTTGTTTCGTCCGATTGAACCATAGTTCCAACATGTTTTGTAGTTGGGAACAGCGAGTCTTAATTATATACGGTAGAGTGTACGGCTTAAGAATAAAAATTAGCCAACCATGTCACATGTCACGCTCTTGGTCGTATACAGAATCAGCCATTGTGTCTTTTAGTTTGTTCAAAATACCCTAAACGGGTTGATGTACTTGTACGACAGTTCGAACGGGCCTTAAACGTTCAAGTTGACCTTATGTGTTACTTTTACTTGCTGTAAAAGCGCGGTGGTGCTACAAACGCTTGGAAGTTGGGAAAACGTAGTCAAACAGTAACCGATTTGTTAAGTTTGACAAAAAAACGTTAGGAGCCATCAGCATTTTCCTGCGGAGATTTTTATCGACAAAGTTCTCAAGTTGTTCAGAATCCAACACAAATACTGGAAAATATCATCTGATATCTTTGCTAATGCAGGGGTTCTCTTTAATTCATTAACGATTTCATCACAAGTTTTGATGGACTGTATTAGAATGGAAAGACGAATTCTAAGATCTAGGAAGGAAACACCCGATCAATTAACCATAAGTGATAACTGATCATTCATAATGTTAGCCACGTGTAATCCGCCCAAAAAACCGCTTAGACTGTACGAAACGAAAGCTCTCAACATTCGGGAGTGTGATAGTATTGAGTTGGATTCGTTGGATGGAGACACTGAAACTACTTCACCTAGAAATCTTAAGGTGAGTTATCGAGAACTTACTACATGTTTTATTACCTTTATACCTACGTGGTGATTGACACAATTTCTCAATGAATGATGTAAAAATGAACGTTCTCGCTCATTTTGCTTTCGAGAAATGAGCAAAAATGGGACAAAAAACATGAAAATTTGCCAGAATCTTGCACCTAAGTGTCTGCTTTTCAAATTTTGCTTTCTGGGTCAAAACTACTCAAATTTGCTCCCGCATGTTGTTATGAATACATCCAATTTTTAATTATCTATCCAACGATGCCAAAACGAATTCTGTGGCTCGAATGGTTCTTGAGAAACCTCGAAAAAAGCAGCGTCATGTTTGAGTCAATTTTGCAACTCAACAAACAAATGCGCAAATCTAAAAATTCTTGAAATCAAAACTTTTTTGAGGAAACTGGCAACATTTCCTTATCGATGGTCCACTTTCTCAAAAGACCTTTTAGTTCTCTCTGGAATGATGAAAAAAAGAGCGTTTTTCCTCATTGGACTTCCGAGAAATGCGCAAAAACGGGACGGAAAACATGAAATTTTGGCACAGTCTTGCACTTAAGTGTCTCATATCCAAATTTTGCTTTCTGGGTCAAAACTACTCGAATTTCCTCACTCATGTTGCTATGACTGCATCCAATGCTTAATTATCTATCCAACGATGCCAAATCGAATTCTGTGGCTCGAATGGTTCTTAAGAAATCTCGAAAAAAGCAGCGTCATGTTTGAGTCAATTTTGCAACTCAACAAACAAATGCGCAAATCTAAAAATTCTTGAAATCGAAACTTTTTTGAGGAAACTGACAACATTTCCTTATCGATGGTTCACTTTCTAAAAATGCCATCACCTTCAATTGCGCTTCCAAAAGAGATTCATAGATTAGAAATAATTCTTACCAGCTTTCTGCAAGCTGGCGTCCCATCCTCCCTTTTCTACTCATTAATCCTCAAAAGCGCAACTCAACACAGTGTTACCCAGGCCTACTCAACTGGTCCAAATAAAGCAATATATACTTACTTTCATCACTTTGACGTCCCGAATGTTCAGTTTTTTGGGTGCAATACTGTAAACTTCCAATGCAATTTCTATTTAATTAGCATACAAATTCTGTCAATTGCGAATATAGGAAATCTGATGGAGTCAACATTCGATTTCTACAAATAACATTAAATACGGTTGAACTGTTTTCCTCTACGAATTCTGTGGCTCGAATGGTTCTTAAGAAGTCTCGAAAAAAGCAGCGTCATGTTTGAGTCAATTTTGCAACTCAACAAACAAATGCGCAAATCTAAAAATTCTTGAAATCGAAACTTTTTTGAGAAAACTGACAACATTTCCTTATCGATGGTTCACTTTCCAAAAAGACCATTTAGTTCCATCTGAAATGATGTAAAATTGAGCGTTTTGCCTCGTTTGGCTTCCGAGAGATGAGCAAAAGCGGGACGGAAAACGTGACATTTTGGCATAATCTTGCACCTGAGTGTCTGATATTCAAATTTCGCTTTCTGGGTCAAAACTACTCGAATTTCCTCACTCGCGTTGTTACGACTGAATCGACTTTTCAATTCTCTATCCAA